GGTTGTAGGGAGAGGGTAGCGATGGCCGGGGCGGGATGTTCAGCTTGGCGATCTTCTCCAACCCGCGGACGCCGGTGGCCTTGCGCAAGCTCACCCTGCAGAGCTGCGACAGAGTCAGAGGTGTCTCTGCAACGAGGGAGGGAGGGAGGGAGGACGACGGGAGGTCAGTTTCCGGAAGGCGCACGGCACCCTGCACCCTACAACGGAGACTGACGGAGCTGGGAAAGCCTCCCTCACCCTGGAAATAGGACGCACCCCGCACGCCTTATAGGGAAGGACAGCGTGGACCGGAGGAGGCGACACCAGGAAAGGGAGCTGGGGTGATGTCCACTGGGATTTAGTTGCATGAGTTTTGGGGGTTTTGTTTTGTTTCCTTTGTTAGAGCCACAGTGTTATAAAGAACTACCCCAGGCCGGGCGCGGTGGCTCACACCTGTCATCCTAGCACTCTGGGAGGCCGAGGCAATGAGGATCGCTCGAGGTCAGGAGTTCAAAACCAGCCTGAGCAAGAGCGAGACCCCCCCGTCTCTACTAAAAAGAAATAGAAAGAAATTAATTGGCCAACTAAAAATATATAGGAAAAATTAGCTGGGCATGGTGGCGCGTGCCTGTAGCCCCAGCTACTCGGGAGGCTGAGGCAGGAGGATCGCTTGAGCCCAGGAGTTTGAGGTTGCTGTGAGCGAGGCTGACGCCACGGCACTCTAGCCCAGGCAAGAGAGTGAGACTCTGTCAAGAAAGAAACAGAGAAAGAGAGAGAAAGAAAGAAGAAAAGAAAGGAAACAACGAAAGAAAGAAAGAAAAGAGAAAGAGAGAGAAAGAAAAAGAAGAGAGAAAGAAAGAAGAAAAAAAAGGAGAGAGAAAGAAAAAGAAGAGAGAGAAAGAAGAAAGAGAGAAAGAAGAAGAGAGAGACAGAAAGAAGAAGGAAGGAAGGAAGGAAGGAAGGAAGGAAGGAAGGAAGGAAGGAAGGAAGGAAGGAAGGAAGGAAGGCAGGCAGGCGAAAAGGAAGGCAGGCTCTACAGCTAGTGGGCTCCTTTTTTTTTTCTTTTTCTTAACCAAACCTGATAACACTGTCCTTATATAGCTGGCTCCTTTGTCACAGGTCCCGCTAAAGGAGGCACAGGTCCAGGGCGGTGCTGGCGGCCAGCTCCTGCCTGCCTCAGGCCACAGGGACCCGGGTTGGAGCAGGTGCATTGGCACAAAACAGCCGGGCAGACAAAGCCCTCACAGGCCCGCCCCGTGGCAGGGACGGGGCCCCAGGAGCCCCAGCAGATGGAGGGCCCCGCTGCAGGACGGGGGGCTCGGGGACAGGCACTCGGCGCGGCCACTCACTCTCGTAGTACTCCAGGCACTTGGCCGGGGCGCTGCTGCTCCACGTGTAGTCCAAGGGCTTCTTCCCGCGGTTGTCCCGGGCGTAGATGTTGCCCCCGAACTCCACGAGCATCTCGATGAGGTCCACGTTCTTCACCTTGGCCGCGTGGTGCAGCGCCGTCTCGTGAAGCTTTGCTGCGTTCACGTTGGCCCCTGGGGGTCCAGAGCGGAGAAGAGACGTCACCGAGGGGAGAGCTCGGGGCCAGGACACCCATCCGCGTGGGCTCCTCGCCAGGCACGGCGCGGGCGCCAAGGCGACCCCCGCCAGGAGGACGGAATCAAGACGGACCCTGCTGTAGCTTTCTCAAAAACGTTTTCCAAAATCGGAAAGCCATAATGACTGTTTTTGTTTTTTTATGTAAAAATTTTTTTTTCTTTTTAGCCTCATTTTCTACATCTGTAGATAATGACTCTTTCTTTCTTTCTTTCTTTTTTTTTTTTTTTTTTGAGACAGAGTCTCACTCTCACGGGCTAGAGTGAGTGCCGTGGCATCAGCCTACTCACAGCAACCTCAGACTCCTGGGCTCAAGTAATCCTCCTGCCTCAGCCTCCCGAGTAGCTGGGACTACAGGCATGCGCCACCATGCCCGGCTAATTTTTTCTATATATATTAGTTGGCCAATTAATTTCTTTCTATTTATAGTAGAGATGGGCTCTGGCTCTTGCTCAGGCTGGTTTCGAACTCCTGACCTCGAGCAATCCGCCCGCCTCGGCCTCCCAGGGTGCGAGGATTGCAGGCGTGAGCCACCGCGCCAGGCCAATCAATCTTAAGCTAAACACACACTTGTCATGAACAATAAACTGCAAAGGCCACAGAATCTACCATCCAAGTAGCTTTCACCTGGGTCATTAATCCTGGCGATATTCTTGCCAGTCGGGAAGGAAAGCGACTGTCTCTATTTGAACAGTGGAGACAGAGGCCGAGGGGAGGCAGAGACATTCTGTCACGGTGGGAGAGAAAACTGCGGCTGACATGCACTCTAAACGTCCCTCCTCCCTGGCGTGCTCCCCGGCCTGGGGCAGGGGGCTCTTTCAGAGAGGAGCCTTCCCGGGAACACAAGGGGCTCCTTTCTAAGTGTGAGCTGGACATCGCTGGACCAGGCATAACGGAGGGAAACAGGAATCTTCCCGGGCGACAGAGACCCCAGACCAGGAGAGGCCACAGCAACCTGGTGGTCTGGAAAGCCCGTGCCGGGTGAGAAAGGTAGAAACAGAGTAAGTCTATGACCCATCGTTTATGTCCACTAAAAACATGGGCCTCGGCGGGACGCGGTGGCTCACACCTGTCATCCTAGCACTCTGGGAGGCCAGGGCAGGCGGATCGCTTGAGCTCAGGACTTCGAGACCAGCCCGAGCAAGAGCGAGACCCCGTCTCTACTAAAAAGAATATAGAAAGAAATTAGCTGAACAACTAGTAATAGTGTGGCATGTTTCCAAAAACACAAAAAGATGAACCACACAGAGATGCACACTATAAAGCAGGGAGGAGGAAGGAAGGGAGGAAGGAGGAGAGGGAGGAAGAAGGAAGGAAGGAAGAGTGAGGAGAGGGAGGGAGGAAGGAGGAAGGACGGAAGGGAG